ACTTTAGATTTGTATTTTTGGGGCCAAATTCTGGTCATGTGTTCAGTCATATTTTTAGTAGCATCTCTCCCCTCATCACAGCCTTAAGATTAGACACTGCGTTAAATATCTTCCAGTTTCATTGCGGTTATCCATCACTCGTGGATTTTTGCTGACTGGCCGCTGACTGCTGACAACACACCCAACGTCAGCTTGGGATTTAAAGAAGATTATTTACTTGTATCATGATGTTGATGTGTTTGTTCAGTCGTTAGTATTGTGACTACAACCACGAACGTAACAGGTGATGGAGGTCGACTGAGGAGGTGCAGGTCGAGTGAAGCGGTGAAGGTCGAGTAATAAGGAGGTGGAAGCTCGACTGAGGAGGTGGTGGACGTCAGGAGGAGGAGGAGATGGTGAAGGTCGAGTAGCAAAGAGGTGGAGATCGAGTGACGAGTAGGTGGAAGCTCGACTGAGGAGGTGGTGGAGGTCAGGAGGAGGAGGAGATGGTGAAGGTCGAGTAGCATGGAGGTGGAGATCGAGTGGCGAGGGAGTAAGAAAGAGGAAGGCCATTTTCAATCTGATTTAATGTAAATAGAATGAGAAGTAATGGTAGCCTTTATCGTAGCAAAATTCGCGTGGCTGCTAGTTGCTAAGTACAGAGTTATGTAGCCAAATTTCCTCTTGTTACCTTCCTCTTCTCTACTTGTTCCTACCCTTTTCCACCTCTCTTTCCCTTCCCCTTCTCTACTTGTTCCTACCTTTTTTCCACCCACTTCTTTCCCTTCCTCTTCTCTATTGTTCCTGTCTTTTTTTCCACCTCTTTCCCTTCCTCATCTCTAGTTTGTTCCTACGTTTTTTCCACCCACTTCTTTCCCTTCCTCTTCTCTATTGTTCCTGTCTTTTTTCCACTTCTTTCCCTTCCTCTTCTCTAGTTTGTTCCTACCTTTTCTCCACCTCTCTTTCCCTTGATACTTTCTCTCCAACGACCGCTTATTTTTCCCTCCTACCTTAAGCTAATATACTTTAGTTACTTTCGTGCTTACAATAACCTCGGCGGCAGAAACGTCATAGGCGATTAAGAGAAACAGTAAGTGAGTTGCCGCTAAGTAAATATTGTACCTGGGATCCCGCCAACGACCGCCGTAATAAACAGTCCATTGCGAGGAATCCCAAGACGTTTATGGGGGAGGACACAGGTGGTTGCGAGTCGCGTCAAGAGAGTTAGGGGCCAGTGAGAAACAAGCAAATGACACTTCTTGTCGACCACGGCTGGGGAAACTTTAGTAAACTGTGACCTCAAGCAAACTACGAGAAGAGGGTCGAGAGGGTGATGGTGTTGCAAGGTTATAAAAATAAAATCTAAAATCAAATTTGTGAGAAAAAATATTTGTTTATGTTAAATAAAACATGAAATTACCAGCTTCTAACACTTAACGTTACAGGTAAAGTGTACTGTAAACCTTTAATGTATGTGATGATAGTTGGTATTTTTTTTATTAATATATACAAATGTAACGTGTAATTATATCCTCCTTTTTCATTGAGAACTCTTATGTTAACTTGAAGGACAGTACAGTAGTAACAGCATAACGTCACTACGGGTTGAGATGAAAGATTCTCCTCCTGACGATAAGCCGTTGGATTAAGTTGAATTTTGACGGAAAAAATCTCGACGATACGTTCATATTATAAGTAAAAACTACAAGTAACAGTCACATCAATTTCCTCCTCAGTAGGGAAATTCGAACTGGGGGCACCGGGATTACCACTCCGCCATCGTACCCACCAGGCTGGGATATACGCCACTTTAGACGTAGGGAAGGGGAGGGAGGGGGGATAAATATGCAGCCAGCGTCAGGGTTGGCGTGACTGCGGCAGACCTCAGCATCCCTGGCCCTCACATCAAAGGTTCGTGGGTTGGGAAATTGCATACTTGAGCCCCAGGAACCGCCGGTCCCTTGCGGTTCACTCATCCCGGAATGTAGTGCATTTCATAGTCAGATTACTCGTTACAGTGATGACGGTAGCGGACATGAAAACTGTATCGATTTCCGGTTACAAGGTCTCTTCCTGTGTATTAGTTCCCGATGACAGTGACGCTCCCTGTGTTAGTTGCAGTGACGCTTACTATCGCGTGCCAGTTACAGTGACGCTCTTTGTATCAAGTGTCAGTTGCAGTGACGCTCTTTATATCAAGTGTCAGTTGCAGTGACGCTCTTTGTATCAAGTCCCAGTTGCAGTGACGCTCTTTGTATCAAGTGTCAGATGCAGTGACGCTCTTTGCATCAAGTGTCAGTTGCAGTGACGCTCTTTGTATCAAGTGTCAGTTGCAGTGACGCTCTCTGTATCAAGTGTCAGTTGCAGTGACGCTCTTTGCATCAAATGTCAGTTGCAGTGACGCTCTCTGTATCAAGTGCTGCAGTGACGCTCTTATATCAAGTGTCAAAGTGTAATCAGCAGTGACGCTCTTTGTATCAAGTGTCAGTTGCAGTGACGCTCAGTGCCAGTTGCAGTGACGCTCTATCGCGTATCCAGTGCCAGTTGCAGTTGCAAGTGACAGTGACTCTCTATGACAAGTGCCAGTTACAGTGACGCTCTTTGTATCAAGTGTCAGTTGCAGTGACGCTCTTTATATCAAGTGTCAGTTGCAGTGACGCTCTTTGTATCAAGTCCCAGTTGCAGTGACGCTCTTTGTATCAAGTGTCAGATGCAGTGACGCTCTTTGCATCAAGTGTCAGTTGCAGTGACGCTCTTTGTATCAAGTGTCAGTTGCAGTGACGCTCTCTGTATCAAGTGTCAGTTGCAGTGACGCTCTTTGCATCAAATGTCAGTTGCAGTGACGCTCTCTGTATCAAGTGCTGAAGGATGTTGAATTGATTTTATGTAAATTTAAAAAATAATTTTATTGTTTTAGAATATTGCTTTTAATGTGTAAGAGAAATACCGGGTAGTTTAGTTATTCCTCTGAATGAAAAGAGTATGGAAGCCAGCTAGGATTGTGAAATAATTAGTGATCGTTAAACTACTCCAAGTATAGTGTGAAAGAGCCTATTGATTGAAGAACCTTTTGATAGAAGAAGCAAGTCCGGTAGTGTGTTAACTCTGTAAATTATGTGAAATACGTTTGTATATTGGAAAGACTTTGTTATTGTAATACATATGTAATTTCCTCAATAATTTCACAACGTTAATATTTTAAATATTAACTACAATATTACTCAATAATTATAGACCAATTTGATATAACTGACAACCTATAAATAATTCAAACTACTTTATATATTGTGAGTAACTGGGGGAACGTTTGGTGGAAATTTGGGGATGTTATGAGTACACAGAGGCAGTGAGGTCCCGTTATATTTACTTAAGATGTCTGAATGCCCGATTCATTATAATGGTAACGTATCTAAGAAGAGTATATTCACCGTTATGAACATTGATATAAGTTGTATAAATTTGTAATATTTAGAATTATAATAAAATGTTTAATATATATATAAACCGGAACAGAGTAAATTATAATTATTAGTAAACTGGAATTTTTAACAGGATTCGAACACCAGCCTCTGATTGCGTGAGAGATCGGAGAGCGAGAATAGAAGTCCGAGTCCCTATTGTATTTCATATCTTGAAGAGGCCAGATGTAGTTGTATTTCCCTCTCATAGTTTTTGTAAATAAGTGATTATACCCCAACAGATGGTAAGACAACTGTTATTTTTGTATTTATTTATCAGTTCTAGATGTAATAATATTTTATACAAGTGAATTATTAAGTGCTTAATTATTGACGACAGTAATACAGTGTTGACGATCGGCAATACAGTGTCAGTTGCAGTGACGTTCTTTGTATCAAGTGTCGGTTGCAGTGACGTTCTTTGTATTATTGAGTGCCACTTACAGACAGACACAACAGACAGACAGACAGGCAGACAGACAGACACAACAGACAGACACAACAGACACAACAGACAGACGATAATCAGCAATTAATCAGATGGTGATTGAGCGAACACCCAAAGAAAATCTACACCTCATTTATATAAATTATAAGTAAGTTGTTCTAGTATGCCCTAATGGAGGCGAATGCACACACTCGACCAACACTTCTCCAACACCTGGGCACGATGGGTGTGAGAATAAACAGAATGGGTCTTGTCATCTGGGAATGGTTTCATATTCTACGTTAATTTTTGTTCAGATTGCATAATGCTTCTAGCGTCCCAGAAGTGTTTGTGAGAGTGTACAGTCAATAAAATAAGTATCGATCACCCTCAAGGTTCGGTGGAATAGTAAATGAACCCTAAGAGCCACCTGACGCCGGTAACCACAAGTTTACAGTTTTCTCGTCCTGTTTCGTATTGTTGTGGACGGCAGGTGGTCCATACTTGTGTTAGTGATCTAATTGTGCTACTTGGATTATACCAGTTATAATTATAAAAAATATCTATCATTACTATTATTAATATTATCTTGTTACTTTTATTTATTTATTTATTTATTTATTATTATTATTATTATTATTGGTGGTGGTAGTAGCAGGAAGAAGTGGTGGAGGAGGAGCAATTCCAATATATAGAATAAATTGCAATTTAAATTACATTTTATTTTAAAATATCAATTACAATTGCAATTACGAATAATGATGTAATTAGTTACTCAACTTTAATTACAATTTCTCCAAGCCACACCGAGCAACTGAACCCTTGCAGTCAAGAAAAAGAAACAAGAGAACAAGTTTCACTTTAAATCACCGCACTCTATTATTAATATTGAATGTGACAAACAGTAACTCATTTTTTTTTCACTTTCACTTCACTAATTACAAACTAATTTTGCAGTACGAGAGCTGCTCATATATCTCTCGAGTACACGTTTATGAGCATTAGTCCCAGAAGGACTCTACTCCCAGTTGGGGTGAAAAGATTTCTTGCCGAGGGTGACCGTGCAGCTCAACATTTCCCTGACCAGGTGCTTCAGAGGACACAGCTTCAGAGGCTCTCCTTTGGTTGCCGGGGACATGAAGGAAAAGAGTCCGGGCCTCTTTGATGGACTTGGGTCAGTAGAGGAAGATTTGCCTTTTTTCTCATTATTTCCTTTTCTTCGTTAGATTCAACAAGTAGCACCTTGATCTCTCGAAGGCCCTGAACTTATTGTCGTGAGAGGACAGCCAATTTAGTCTTGAAACACGAGGGTCAGGGAACGCTACTGCTGTAATGTCACCCATCTTCAGAAAGGAATAAAATCTTCTCTAGACTGATTTCAAAAGGATCTCACACTAGAACAGACTAGAATCAGGCAACTGCAGCATGAATTGTGCCTCTCAAGAATCGGCACAACTTGTGTCAGTGCTGCAGCCGCCATGTGAGATAATGTCTTGTTCTGCTTCTCCCCACCACTCAATAAATCAACAGCTGTGTTGATATCTTCGGAGTTTTTCCAAGACATATTTCACCATCTTGAGCTGTGAGTTCCACCTTGTTACATATGAAGACTTTAAGGAAAATCCTTTTACTTGGAAGTCGACCTCCGAATAGCACTCACAAGAGATGACATTTTTGGGATCGCTGTAGCCAGGAAAGCAGCTTTGACTTCCAGATGATGAAGACCACATCTGACACAAAGCTGCTGAGTGTGATAAAAGCAGCTCATACGTTGTCAAAATATTTATAACATATATTTTTCTATTCTTTAAATCTCACTATTCCCTTATCATGTAATTGTAATTTAACGAAATTTAAAGAGCCACTTACAACTACAATTGTAATTAATTTTTATTTTGAAAATTACAATTACACAAAATTTAATTATTTACATTCAACTTCAATTACAATATAAATTACTCCCAAGACTCGTAGTAGGAGACTCAGCCACAACAACAGTAATAAGAGAAGCAATAAGCCTCTGTCAGTGAGGGAAGGAAGGATCCTGAGGGAACTGGCCCTTTGCGTGTGGCGGTGGACGTCTCGGGTAGATAAATCGACTGGTACCTATGGCTGCCCCGCGTCATCACTCTCCCGTACCGATGTTATCTTTTCTCTCTACCTATAACCTCCTATGATTACTCTTAACAGGCCACATCCCACTAATCGGATTGAAGCCAGGTCTAATGACTCCCAATCGTTGTAACTAATTCCCGATATCTTCAACTACTCGCCGATATAGGTAATTAAGTAATGATCAGAAATGTTTGAAAAATTTCTTGAATATGGTTTACGCTACTGCAGGTCAGGTAAGGCTAGGTCAGGTTACGTTAGGTCAGGTCAGGTCATACTGTTTTGTACTTGGACATACCTGCAAGAAAAACAATATTGAGTTAATGCGATTACTGATGTTGCTCGTATTTTCGTTGTAAATATCGGAGTTTTTTTTAATGGGATACCCAATGTTTTGCTATTTACGTCATATATTTTTTTTAACGCAAGTGTCGGTTTTTTACGGTTATATCTATCGTAAATATAACCTCCTATGATACGATCACTTGTGTTTTTACAGGAATTTCCATCGTAACTGTTTCCCCTGTCTCTTTCGTGCGATTAATGTTGCTTATGGTCTTATATCTGCCGGTAAATATCGTATTTTTTTTCTGCTTGGATGTGTCGATTCTTTCACGGGGGAGCGAGGGAAACATTACCACCTAACGCCTCGTCCCGGAAGCACAAACAAAACTCCCCAGTTGCTGGTGGTTTGCTCTCCGATGGCAAGTAGGCCACGTAGAATACCACCATTTATCGTTCCTCTGCACGACACTTCTCCAATACAACAGTGTGTGGAGGGGGAAGTGAGAGGGGTGGTGATAGGGTGAGGGTAGGGAGAGGGGTGGTGGTAGGGTGGGGGTAGGGAGAGGGGTGGTGGAAGGGTGGGGGTAGGGAGAGGGGTGGTGGTAGGGATGTGGAGGGGGGAAGGAGAGGGGTGGTTTGGGAAGGGAAGATTGATGAGGGCTCACGATTTTACCCGTGAATTATAGGGAAATGCAGAGAGCTTCATTTATTCAGTGTTACGTTATCGAAAAAAAAATTAGACCGTATTTTTTTTTTCGGGAGGAAGGACGAACGAGAGGTGAGCGGTCTTATGAACGTTCAGTAGAGGAGGAAAAAGAATATAGGTGAAATGAGTCCCCCCAAAATTTATAATCCCTTTACTGATTTATTCATTAGGATTTAGAACTCATTAAGATTGGTTTCTATTAAGCATGGGACTTATTAGAATTAGAACCCGTTTTATCTGGTGTCATTAGGATTCGGATCCATCATGAGTGAACCCCAATAGGTAAGGTTAGTTTGGGGTCAAGTGGCCAGTTACCATGGAGGAACACTTTTACAATGTGTCAGCTAAACGAATCTTATCACACTTGTTTACTGACGTCTAGTATTAATGAAAGGTTACAGAAACTAACTCCTTCTGTTGTCTCTAGGTTTTAATTTGGTGCTCAACATTTAGTAGTGTTTTATATATATATATAATAAAACTCAAGTAAAAGCTGTGAAAACTACCTAGAATTATATTAAATTTCCCTTCAAATAATTTTATAATTGATGTGAGCGATATCCTTCAAACCTACGTCTTTGTTGGCGATATAAACAGTCGTCCCACACCGCCACGTCCCGCGGAAAAAATATTTCTCCTTCCAGTTTTCAAACGAAAATAACTCTCCTCCTTTATCTTCAGAGGGAGATGAAACAGATCTATGAATACAGATAAAATGTTACATGTCGGTAAGAAAGGATTTCACCAAGAAAAATAAGACTTTCTTGTAGCGTCTAATAATAATTCTTTTCGGGAACTAAGTATCGACAGATTGTCTCCTTATTCCGCCAAACAACCGGTTCCCCGGAATTAGGGAATAATAGTGATAAACTGATATCGTTGGCAGTCAATGGAGGCCATCAGAATCCATTTGTAAGAGACGTGGGCTGAGGAGACACAGTGGATCATGGCGTAAGATTAACTTAAGCGTTTACAGAACATTAACTTGTGGAAGGAGACTGTGTGGTTTAAACTCTATGGGATCGCTGTGCCATGCCTGTAATCTTGTCACCCTTTGGTAGGGCCGTCCCTAGGAGGGTGCGGGGCCCGGGGCATCTCAGCCACTGCGGGGCCCCAGATTATGCGGTCAGAGGAACTCACCCCCACCAACCCCCATGGGACTGTCGCTATGGATGGGAAGGTCACGGTTGCGATGGTGGCGTAAGCCGTCAGGTCAGATTAACCAGTCAACAGGTAATGTGTCCTAGGGCACTGGGTCTAGTGCTGGGCCCCGCGGGGCCCCCACATGCGCGGGCCCCCGGGCGGTCGCCCCTGTTCGCCCCCCCCCCCTAAAGGACGGGTCTGCCCTTTGGTTATAGAACTTTTTTATTTTGTTTATTATCTTTCTATCACTTTAATCCTCTTACGTTCATGTAAAAGGGATCAAGAGAACACAAACTTCAAACGACTGGGAGGAATCAGAGGCGGGAATGTTTGTGTGAGACGAGAGTGAAAAGCGTCAGGATTGAGCCAGAACAGTAAATGATATCCCCATACACACACAAAACACCTGTCCCTCTCCTCAACTAACATAAACAGTTCACAGTGATTCTTTAACCTCTCCAATGATTCACAAGATGTAGTAATATTAGCACACTGCATATAGTAAATCAATGCTAATACATATATCATAATTTTGTATGAAGGGGTTGATGATGTGTGTATGCTGTATTGATTAATTAGAGAGTAAAGTGGTTGATTGATGTTTGATATACATACAAACTTTGTACTTGTAGATTTCACAGTTTTAAGTATTATTTGGTTTTGTACGTGTCTATGTGAACGACTGTAAGAGTACTTGAAACTCTATAGACATTATCATCGTTAAAGACAACTAGTATTTCAGTAATCAGGTCAGCAGAGGTCTTCAGTCATCAGGTCAGCAGAGGTCTATAGATCATTGAACTGAAACTAAACGAGAAATTAAAGGCGACTTGCAATTATGTATTCTAGGGAAGTGACGTCAGGACCTCACTCTTACCCAGCAGGGGAAAGAAATCTTCATTAAGACGACACCTGCAATGGGGTGTGGAGGTGACCTTCAGCCCCCCCCCCCACCCCCCCACTCTTCCAAGTCTCTCCATACTTCTCCAGGTCCCCTTTTCTAGCACTATCAATACAACCCTAACACCATCCACACTTCTCTAGCACTATCCACACTTCTCCAGCACTATCCACACTTCTTCAGCACCATCCACACTTCTCTAGCACTATCCACACTTCTCTAGCACTATCCACACTTCTCTAGCACTATCCACACTTCTTCAGCACCATCCACACTTCTCTAGCACCATCCACACTTCTCCAGCACTATCCACACTTCTCTAGCACTATCCACACTTCTTCAGCACCATCCACACTTCTCTAGCACTATCCACACTTCTCCAGCACCATCCACACTTCTCTAGCACTATCCACACTTCTCCAGCACCATCCACACTTCTCCAGCACTATCCACACTTCTCCAGCACCATCCACTTCTCCACATCTACACTTCTTCCCATCCACACTTCTCCTTTTCACTCCCACACTTCTTCAGCACTATCCACACTCAGCACTATCCACACTTCAGCCTATCCACACTTCTAGCACTATCCACACTTCTCCAGCACCATCCACACTTCTTCTAGCACTATCCACACTTCTCTAGCACTATCCACACTTCTTCAGCACTATCCACACTTCTCTAGCACTATCCACACTTCTTCAGCACCATCCACACTTCTCTAGCACTATCCACACTTCTCCGGCACCATCTACACTTCTCCAGCACTATCCACACTTCTCTAGCACTATCCACACTTCTCTAGCACTATCCACACTTCTCCAGCACCATCCACATTTCACCAAGACCGTCAATACTTCTTCAAGATCATGAACATTTTCTTTGATCATCCAGACTCCCCCATGGTCACCAACACACCTCCAGGACTCCTAGCCTTCTTCTCAGGACTCCCAGCCTTCTTCTCAGGACTCCCAGCCTTCTTCTCAGGACTCCCAGCTTTCTTCTCAGGACCCCGGACAATCCCCCAGGACTCCAGACACTTCTCAGGCGGTCCATTACAGTATATTCCGCCTTTTGCCTCCTACGTATGACGGCTTCTTCCCCTCTTACCGTTCTGCCTCACTAGTTCCGAAAGCCGTCTATTCTTGTCTCCTAAGACCGGCCACTTTAGTTTCCAATTCTGTAGCTGCGTTGTGCCTGTGACTACGATTTTTCTCTCTAAAATTCCGGTACATTGTGGATTCAGTGGGTTTTTTTTTCTCCAGGTTTGTTTATCTGATTAAAGTGTTGTGGTTATCTTGTAAACGAGTCTGAGTTCTTGTTTATATTCATGTATAGAGGCAGGTGGCCACGAGGGAACGGAAACACAAAATGATACAAACGTTTCTATGATCGTTGACATTATTTGAGAAGACAGTTGGAGTGAGCTGCCTGGAGGAGTTAAGGCAATATTTCAAGAGGAATTTGCAAAGGAGAAAGTCTAGGATCGGGTGTTGGGAAAGGTAATCACATACACGTGTCATTATGGTTGATTCGGGTTATGTCCCAACACTGTCCATAAATACCTGTGGTGAAATACTAAAGTTAGATAATTATTGAACACGAAAAGATAAACGAAATAGCGATTTGTGATATTTTGGTCATAGTAAATAAATAGACCAAGGGAAGAACGGGGGAATTAAACAGGAATTTAATTATAACTCCACAAATGCGTCAGAAAATTGTTTGCTGCCACAGATGTGTACTTGCTGCCTAATATAATATGCTAATGCACATAATGTACGTTTTTAATCTAATAAAACATCCAGGTTTACAATTAGCATTTATTTAACGCTCGAAGCGAAAACGGTAGGCAACGTTATGTTAATGAAAATAACCCACATATTTAACATGTGATTGCAGCCCAAACACACACACACACACACACACAGAACATCAGGATAATTGATCATAAAACGCATTACTTTGTGTCGATAATGGAGGTTAGGTTAGGTTAGGTTAGGGCACCTTACCCAAGCAAGTATGAGCTATAAACATGACTTCTCCCTTGAAATGTGGAGAAAAGACTAAGCGAGTGATGAGGACTGTGGGTGGTGGTGGTGGTGATAATGGTAGTGGTGATAGTAGTGGTGGTGGTAGTGGTAGTGTAGATTAGTTATGGTAATGGTGGTAATAAATAGTAGTAATTGTAGTGGAGACGGTGATAGTATAGCAAGAATTTTGATAGTATAAAAAATAGTGGTAGTAGATGCTATTGATAGTGGTGGTAACAGAAGGTAGTGGTGATGGTAGCAGACGGTAGTGATGATAGTGGTTGAAGATAGAGGTTGTAGTAGAAATTAGTAATAGTGGTAGTGGTGGATAGTGTTGACAGTGGTGCTGTCAATTTCTCATTATCTTTTCTGTCTGTATCTCACTATCTCCTCTGTCCATCTCCCCCTTTCTCCCTTTCACCTTCAAATTCATTATTCTATCCTCTTAACTCTTATTTTCCTTCCCTTCCTTTCCTCTTTCACATTCACCCCTTTTTTCTCTGCAACCCAAATCTTTTTTTTTCAGCTCTGTCATTCACTCTTATGTAGTGTCAACAGTATACAAGGGACCCAATGAGAACTAGATAATCAGCATTTGTTGTAGAGTATAGTGGCTGAGCTGTTTGTTGATGTAGTCCATTACCCCGAGTCTCAGTTGGAATCCACCACGGAGACTTAACCGAGAATGTGTTTTAAAGAGTACACCTGTATGTACTCGTTTGGGTTAGACTCTCAGTATCTCCGTCCACCAGATGAGTCTTGAGAGAGTCTTATCCCATGATAGAGGCACAGTAAATAGACGCTTCATGTGTAAATAATGAATCTCGATAGCAAGCAGGTGGCGAGGAATGAAAAAGAAAAACACGTTGTGACTCTTGAACAGGAACATAATACTTATATATCTTACACAAACTCTCCCCGTCTTGATGGTGCTTTAAGGAATAATAACCACAAGATGAAAAGCAAACATGTATTAGGAATATTTCTTCACTGTTTTTATCCTGGGTGTTGTTATATTGATGAAGTATATACATTACCCTGTGCCTCTGTTGTTTCATACCAAGGAAGTGTTTCTTCCTATTTCTTCCTCCTCCTCCTTCCCTCTTCCACTTCCTCCTCCTCCTCCTGCTGCCCCTCCTCCTCCCCTTCTTCACCAGCACGTCCAAACACTATGTCACGATTAAATGCTTCTGACTGAATAAACCAACCGCAAATTCTTCCGATGCGCAAAATTGTTATTGGTTAGCCTCGGCAACCTCACCAGAATGCGTCTGCGGGGAGGAAATATCTATCCCTAGAGAGCTGCTCTTATACGCTCTCTAGTCGTCAACACACACTGGCTGTTGCTTACCAAGAGAGTCCTTCCTTACACCCCAGCAGCCTTATTACGTGTGTCACGACGGGCCGCCTCAGCTCGTTACACACGCGAGTTACTGTAACAAACTCAAGTGATCGTAACATTTTAAAGGATAGTTCCTACGTCGCATATATTCAGTAACGCATTTTGGTGGTGTGGTCAGCAGGGAGGCGGCCCGGGGCAGTGTTCACCGTTGATGCTGCCTCGCTACTCCATTTTCCAACTCCGCGAGACTTCCTGCATTTTCTAACTCAAGGCGAAATTCTTACCAAGGCATCTTTTGTTGTTTTCTCTAATTTAATTTGCGATATAATGTACGTACTTTATACACTACAAAAGATGATGAAATTTTTGGATGTGATTTTCGATGAAATTCCCATAGAAGAGGATTACATGGAAAAAGTAAATGGGATCCGTAGGTCGGACAACTTATCAGGGGCCATGCGGTTACAGCACAAGGAAATAATCACCCTTCGGTTAACAAGGAAACAGTGTAATCACCACAAGATTCAATCACCTTCACTTCCCCAACAGTAAAGTTAGGTACCCATTCACAGCTGGGTGTACTGGGGGTAACCCAGGCGCGGGATGCGAGCGATGAATCTACTCAACCAGCGTACCACTTACTGACTTCAACCTCCCAATAATGTGGATTAAACAGCGATAAACGGTGTTGAATCTTCCCTCACCTTCTATTGCTTCTTATGTTGTTGTTATTTACACTTGTTCTGTTTTGTTTCGGCTGTGATCTCTTATTTGTTCTCACCGATATAACCTGAGAAAATAGGAGGTTAATATTGTCCTCTGTCAACCTGTCTCTGCTTCTCTCTTGTGGTGCCCTCAGTACCGCTGATTACACAGAAGCCATGTAAGTTATTGTTACCCAAGTGGACACAAGTTTAGAGGATGTCAAGTTAAGTGATGCACAATAAATGCTCTTTGAACTGGAAAATGAAATAGTCTGAGTGGGCGGATACCGATAAGAGACATGAATTATTGCGCTGCACAGCCTTTACGACCACCAGCTGTTGTAGCGGTGCTGTTACTGTGGCGGATGTGAAGTAATACTGCTGATTCTACATGTGGTGTTTTGAAATGTTACTACTGCTGCTGTAGTTACTGCTACTGTTACAACTTGTATTACTACTGCTGAAACTGTTCCTTTTTTTATTACTACTGTTTTTAATTCTGTTGTTCCTGCTACTAGTTTTAATTCTACTGTTTCTGTACTGTTATTGTTAAGTCAGGCATTTCCGTTCCATTACTGCTGTTGTTGATGTATGTGCTCGTCCACTCCGTCATAGTATCACAGGAGCCGGCCGTCTGCTCCCCGGCCACACGTTATTGCCTCCACTCGACCTCAACCTAATTACTTGTTATTTATCCCCGAAGTTTAAATGGGTCTCTGTACTCTAGTGACTTTCAAGGGTAGTGTTTATTGAGAGGTGTCTGGCTTACCCGCCTCGTGACAGGTCTTACCAAGATGTTCTATTGGTTGGTCTCTCAGAAATGTGTGGGTTTGGTCTCTCTCTACGATGTGAGATCTTTTAAGTTGGTTTGAGATCTGCGGGGTTAATTTCCTGTGAGAGATATTTGGGATCCGTCTGAGAAATATATAGGTTGGTCTCTGGGAAATTTATGGGTAACTGTCTTGAGAGATCTGTAGATTAGAACCTATTATTATATCAAACGACTATATAAAATATCTGAATACGATAAACCATACAAATCCAACACAAAAAAGTAAAATATAAATTGTAGAAAAAGAAACTACAAGATAAAACGAATTTTATACAAAGAAAATAGATTAAAGGAAACCCGAGCTGCACCAACCAGGTCAGGGGGAGAAGAGAGAGGTGACAGGGAAGGCACATTCCTATGACCACAAACTCAAAAGCTTTTTCAGCAGCTATTTGGCCCCGCCCAGATAAAACCTTGTACTCTCCCCCATTACCAGTGTGTGTGTGTATATCTGTCTGTCTGTCTGTCTGTCTGTCTGTCTGTCTGTCTGTCTGTCATACAGTTTATGATAGAGTCTTGCGAGGTCCAACACACTGAAGATCTACAGCACTAAACACTGTTCTTATGGCTATAACCGCCGGGAACAAGTCACTTTTACAGATGATTGTTTTTCCCGACACACTATGGCCAGGGAGCTATGGGAGCAACTAACACTATCACTCTCTCTAGAAACACAATTGTATACAGAAACCTTCACATCGATTATATAGAATGCCAAAAGTTTCCCTGTCATATCCCACAAAGACGCTGATGACTTACACAGGATAACTTAGGAACAATACCTCACTTATTCACTTAGTCTCTCGTGTTTTTACTGTGAGAGATGATTAAGCCTTTGTAGATTAAAAATAACAAAGTATTAAAGACATTCAATATCCTATGATGGGTTATTTTTGGTGATCCATTGTTAATATTGTTTAATGATTTTGTTTTTCATTAGGAAACGATAAAAAGAACCAACTATTTTTTTTTGCTCCTGAAACACAAACATTCCCTTGATCTTACCTACAGAGAAATTGGAGTCAGCCGTAGATAAATTTCTCGTTAACTTTCCTGCCTCACTCTCTTTCTCTCTTTATTTCTTTCCCCGACCTTTTCTCTTTCTTTCCCTGACCCTCTCTCTCTCTCTCTCTTTATCTCAACCACCTCCTTCCTTCCTTCCTCGGTCACGTCC